GTACAAGTAAAAATTATTAAATTTTTTCATTTGCTAAAATGGAAAATAAAAATTTAATTTTGTTCTCTTGTAAAATAAGAACCCTCATTATGGTTTACTGACTGGTCAGTACAAATTATTATTAATTTAAATGAAAATTATCAATGCATATAATTTCATGCTCTAATTATCACCCACATTTTTTGATTTAATAAATTAAAGTTATAACTAAATTTTATGAAGTTATATCCTTTATGACAATATTTAATTGTATAATACATAAAATATAATATTTATATAAAAAATTGAATATTTTTTTTACCAATCCATTGTCAAAAGTGAAAATCCCCACATCTCTTCCGTGATGTATGTGATTACGACGCATGACAGGGTTGGCATGGTTTTTAACCCAAACTCCAGCCAAAGCATTTCGACAAATTTCATTATCTTCAAATGTTCCTTGAGCGTGGTCTGTTACATATATACCAACATTTTCACAGTCACTTACATCACAATGATGAATTCTAGGATTTGCCCCAGCTCCACTAACACACACAGCAGCTCCAACAACTGATGAGCTACGTATAATACAATGATCAATAGTAGGCGAACAATTTTCACCAACTTCTAAACAAAAATGTTTATGATGTGGAACAGTAGATGTAACATTTGGAGTAAATTTTAGTGTGACATGTCCCAGATAAGCACTTTTAGCCCCTTCGACAAACATTACTGTTGATTCTGTTTCACGTTCTAGGATGACTGCATCTGCTACAACACCAGGAGCAGCTCCAATAAGTGCTACATCTGAATCAATTACTAGAAATTCACCTCGGTAAGTACCAGGGTGTAAGAAAAGTTTTGCACCTCCATTTAAATGTTCATCTGCATAATCTAGAGCAGCTTGAATAGTGTCAAAATGTGGCATTCGTCTCACTGGATCTTTAGCTGTACCATTATAATGAGGTCTTACATGCAAGCACCGTTTTTTTAGGTGTCTAAAACTTTCTTTCCAAGGATTGTGATGTTCACTTTCTTCAAAAGGAATAAAGTCAAAACGACAACTTTCAGTATTGAACAATGGAGTATCATACTCGAATACACTTTGATATAATCGTTTCCATAAATTATTATCATTTGCTATAGCTTGAAATCTTTTGCAAACTTGAGCTATTCTACAAAGATCTTGTTCATATAAATAACTGAAAATTGTCAACATGACTTCATCAGGCAATTCACATTGTAAGTAATGAGCAGCTGAATTTGAATCTGGAAATTAAACAATAATTTAATAGTTAATTTGAATTCAGTTACATAGAGTACAAAATGATCAAATACTAATCCTTAAAATCCTAGTGTACTCATTTGGATACACAACAGTAGTTCATTTAAAGACAATTGTCTGATTAAGTGTTTAAAATTATTTTTTATTTTAACATTGTGCTAATAAATCTGTACTATTGCGGTTAAGTGTTAATAAAAAATATTTAATAATAGTAAATATTTTACTTGATTGAAAATTGGACTAGTATTTAAAAAAAAATACAAAATTTCTAGAGCCATAAAAATACATGTTCATTATTTCATTTTAATGCTCTCCAGGATACATTATGTTTACACAGTTAACAGATTTAACCACAATAGTTAAAATTAAATAAATTGTTCAATACAAAATGTATTTTAAAAAATTATAAAAAAAGAATATAGTGGTTTAAGCATTATTTATCAACAATAAAATGTTAACTAATACTTAAATAATTATTTATTATGTTAATACATACTATCAGCACTAGTAATTGTACAGGAAGTATTTCTTCTGAGTCGTTTACNATACATACTATCAGCACTAGTTATTGTACAGGAAGTATTTCTTCTGAGTCGTTTACGTGCTGGTTGTGATAAAGGAGGTGTAGCAGCAGATTGCAATACTGATGCAGTAGCTGAAGCTGTTGGTGATGTAGGCCGAGTAGCAGTTGGATGAACAGGAGCTGTTGCGCTACATCCAGCAGTACTAGCATCATGTAAATGAAGAGGAGATTTTCGACCCCTTAAATCATAGGGTGGTACATGCTGAAAACTAGAACTCGTACTAGCCCCCCCTGGTGTAGCATAACTACCACTTGCAGCTACGAGTGGTTCACAAGTAACTCCTGCATCAACAACACCACCTAAAATTAAAATGTATAATTGAATTAAATGTAACTTTAATATTTTATTTAATTCATAGCATTTTAATACTAAAACAATAAAATTAACAATCACTACATTAGGTTATTAATATTTTTACCAAATGATAAATTATAATACATTATCAAATCTTAAGTAGTATACACAGTAACTTCACACAAAGATTTTCTGTTATAAAAATTAANATAACTTCAGACGAAGATTTTCTGTTATAAAAATTAAAATATAGTTTTTCTTGATAGTTCAAATAAAAAATTCCAACATCAGAATTAAAATAATCCAAAATTATCAAGTTATCAGTAATAATTCATATTCTAGTAGAAATTACCATGGTTAAATATTTAAGAAAAAATTATAAAAATAAATAAGGTATTTTAAAAGCATAAAAAAATTTTTAAGTTTTCATTAGAGAAATT